TCCAATATTATTAGCACGTAAGCTGATATTTTAGAAACCTTTGAAGTGAAATGCAATTCTGTTGAAACAAAAAAGGAATTTCTGGTAGCGTGCAAAAGACCACTTATGAGGCAACGATGCAATTAAAATATTGGTTCAGCGTTCTCCAAGATATGTGTACACCAAAGCAGGTGCCTGCAGAAGAGCTGAACATTAGAATACAATACCATTACTCGAAGGGGTGAGATTCGTCTTTGCAGAGTCTTGTTTTCTCAATCTGAATGAACTACAAAGTATAAAAGAGAACGAGCTAACTCTCAAGTGCTGTGTTTTCGGGGACTGATAATTTCTCTTGCCTTGGGAGTCAATGGAGAGAGCTGTGTTCGGCTCTGCAGAGCTCCCGGCAGTGGAAGCCATCAGCTGGAGGGCTGAATCTCTCCCGTTTGTCTGAACTTCTGATTCTCATCGCCGGGCGTGAATGTTTCTTAGCGCCATGCTTTGCTAAAACACTGAGCTCAACTGCTCTTTTGCACTGAAAGGTCAGCTGGTGTTCAGACACTAATTCTTTAAATCTGTGGTCATTTACCATTTCCCTGTTTGCTGGCATTCGTTAGGCATTATACCTTAAGATGTAGCCAAGGTTTTCTTCTTTATGCCAATATTAAGAAACTGTTAGTTAAAGCTTATGTTGTTATGCAAACCCCTTAAGCCGTCAATTAGTTAACTGGCTAAGGGAGATAAGCTACCTCAGAAGCTTGCAGTTAATGAATATAGTGCTTTGTTTCAGAGAAAAACATATGCCTGGGATATATAATTAGAAGAAAGCCCCCCAAAGAGAGAGCATGTGCAGTTGAATAAAGGGGGTTATTATACCTGTATGGGGTCAAAGTCTGTAGATCTGTAGCTTATGGTATTATGATAGATTACAGAATCACTCTATTATGTTAGTCATTCAGTATGTAAGCAGGCCCTCACAGGAAGCAGAGCACAAGAAGCTTTTGAAAACAAGGTTCCCGGTAGCTTTCTTCTGAAGCCCTTATGACAGATCAGCTGTTAGTGACATCTCTACTGTTAGATCATATGTCACAACCTTAGGTGTCTGACTTTTGTCTTGTTGTTGCTGAGCCTCTTAGACCAAGGCTGGCTAAGGCAGGGATCTGCAGGGTTGAATGGTAGCTCAGCAGGCAAGCAAGAGCTCAGGCTCTTTCAGAGAAGACCCCAGGCAATTACAGGCTATCTGAGCTCTCCCGGGGTCTAACTCTCCCATACTCTGGGACCGGAGGAGCCATCAGCTGGAGTGGACGGTTTTCAAGCCTGTCTTGCAAATAGAAAACAAGAAAAAAAAAACAACAGCACAAAGAAACGCATGCCCTCTTGAATCATCACCTACTTTGCCATGAATTTTCAAACAAACCCATTTAAGGCAATGTAACTATTATCACAGCAGTGCTATCCCATGAAACACAACAATGTCTGCCAGGTAAGTCGTTGCTTCTGTATTTTAGTCAATCAGTTCTGTTGTGTCTTCCATGAGCACATAACTGAAGAGTCAGAGCTTCGGCTATAGTATGCATACTATACTTAGCTTACAACATAGACATAAAGTAAAAACAGCTTGGTTTCCCTTAACTTTTGAATGCCATTGTTCGTTTCCAATTAAAATATTTTACACAAAGCGTGCATATTCAAACACAGTTCTCCATTTTAATTTGCTAGTGTTATTCATCGCTCTAGGACAGTCGGATACATCACGTGATTCAGAGCTCTGCACTGTTACACTGCACTCCTGTGTGACCCACTGTGCTCAATTTATGAACATGCCGGCCATCGACTCAATCAGAGCTTAACGCAGAGCACGAGCATTGTACAGGAGCACTATAAACTTATGACACAAAGACCTGTGCTTAAGAATCACTCTTCTTCATTTTGAATTTTTAGTATTAAGATGAACACACGTTAAAAAGAAGACGTTGAATTTAACAGCATTCTCTTAGTTTCCTTTGAAAAGATGTAACATATTCATTTAAAACTACTTGTGGTTTTAAAAACATCCACATTTCTGTCAATATTTTATGTTTATACTTTTACATTTTTCATGTGGCATGTATTTCTATATACTGTTGCAAACTTCTAGTTTAGGTGCAGAACAAACCTACGCAACTGTTAGTTCTAAACTGGATTGTCTTTTTCCTAAAAAGCAGCGGTAGATCTTGCAACGTTGGCTTTGTAATTTTTTTTAAATAATTTCAAATAATAAAAAACAATACTAAAGACACGACTACTCATAAATTTACTATATACATTATACACTGAAATAAACCTGTTTTTCTTCCTCGGACGATAGTTTACGTGCATTTAGTCTTTCATGCTCTGTGAGCTCCATCTGCCGGTACATTGCAAAATAACAGCCACAGTGAGCATCACAGTTTTTTGCGAATCTACAGTATATCCACTTGTCTATCTTCTAACCGCTTTTACCAATATAGGTCCGTATACTAGCCGGAACCCATCCCTGCAAGCAGCGTGTGCAAGGCAGGATACGTGGCAGGGCAGCACACAGACACAATTTTCCCAGAAGCCAACTAACCTTGCAGTATGTTTTTGGGACTGTGTGAGGACACCCAATCGAACACGGGGACAACATACAAACTCCTCGCAGATAGCCTTCCTCAGGATTTGAACCCACGGCCCCAGTGCAGTGACCACAGCTGAGTACCGCGCCACTGTACCGCAGTGAATGTATTTTAATCATATTCAGACAGTGGAACCGGCCTGCAGGTTCTTGTTTTTAATAAATTTTTGCATCAAATATAAATCATGTCTGCATATTAGTAGCGCTTTTCATCCCAGAGGGTCTCATAGAGCTTTAGAGAGGACTCTCGAAATACAACCCAAAACTGTGCCACCCTCTGCTCACACACAATCTCCACTAGACACTACAGGTTAGATGGGCAAGAATAGTAATGACTTCTCCAGTTTAATTGAAGTAGAACAAACTTTAATGGCAATTGAATCCTTATGTTTTTGGATTTTAAGTCATTTGACTTTGTAGGATCTAGCGTTAATCGTTTAAGGAAACACTCAAAGGCTTGGTACCACAGGGCAGCCTGGATACAGACACTGAATTTCTCGCCTAGATAAAAAGTGAGATGCTGAGATGTATAGGTATAGAGAGACATTATTTGAAAGGTGCTGAAATAAGTTGATACATCATCTAAAGGTGTTTACAGTGGCTTTTCGGCAAAGAGGTTTCTTTAAAAGCATGTCTTGTATTTAATGTACATGAAGAGCAATAAGACTAGAAACTGTCCTCAATAACACATAAGTGTATGAGGAAATATTGCAGGTTAAATATTTTATACGTAGGAGCGTTCTGTACAAATGTATTGTGGGGTCATCATGGCACGAGTACCACTCTACAGCACATGGGTTTAAATGGGTAATTGATCTATCAATATCAATTTGCTATGCTTCCGCTATATTAAAACAATGTCTTAATATAGCGGACCAACTGGGTTCAGTGCTACAGTACATCTTCAACCTCAGCCTGAGATTAGAAAAGGTTCTGATGCTCTGGAAGACATCTTGCCTGGTGCCAGTACCCAAAAAGGGGCACCCTAAAGTTTTGAATGACTACAGACCAGTGGCACTTACATCACACCTAATGAAAACTCTGGAAAGGCTTGTACTGGACCACCTCAGGACCCTGGTGAGTACAGCACTGGACCCCCTGCAGTTCGCCTACCGGTCACACTTGGGAGTGGAGGATGCAGTCATCTATGTGCCACACAGAGCTAACTTTCACCTGGAGAAGACGGGGAGCATTGTGAGAGTTATGTTCTTTGACTTCTCCAGTGCCTTTAAAACCATCAATCCACCTTTACTGAAAGATAAGCTAAGGGCGGCGCAAGTGGACACTCCCCTGCTGTCCTGGATTATAGACTATCTGACCTGCAGGCCACAGTATGTACGGCTACAGAGCTGTGTGTGTCCGAACAGATTGTTAGCAGTACTACGGCTGCACAGGGGACTGTCCTTGCTCCATTCCTGTTCACCTTTTACACCTCTGACTTCAGGTACAACTCTGAGACATGTCATCTGCAGAAGTTTTCGGATGACTCTGCAATTGTGGGGTGTATTAGAGAGGGGAGGGAGGAGGAATATAGGAGCTTGATTACCAATTTTGTGGAGTGGTGTCATCTTAACCATCTCCAGCTTAACACCAGCAAGACCAAAGAAATGATCTTCGACTTTCGAAGGAATAAGTCTCCGCTGAACCCTGTTTCCATCCAGGGTGAGGACATAGAGGGCGTACATTCCTACAAGTACTTAGGGGTACACCTGGATAAAAGGTCAGAGCCAACTCTATTTTCTTAGGAGACTCAGGTCCTTTGGTGTGTGTGGAACACTGCTGAATCAGTGGTGGCGGTGGCCATCTTCTACACTGTTGTGTGCTGGGGCAGCAGCATCATGACAAAAGATGCAAATAGGCTCAATGAACTTATCAAGAAGGCTGGCTCTGTGCTGGGGATGAGCCTTGACCCCATGGAGGTGGTGGCTGAGAGGAGAATGCTGACCAAGCTCACAGCCATCATGAACAACACCTCTCATCCGCTTCATGGGACTGTTACTGGGCAGCGGAGCACTTTTAGCAACAGACTGCTCCAGCTACGGTGTTCAAGGGAACGTTTCCTCAGGTCTTTCCTCCCGGCGGCTGTCAGGGTGTATAACGCTGCCCTAGGCTAGGACTGTTAGCCCTTCATTTGCTCGTCTATGAACAGCGTTTTTACTCCATTGTACTTTTTGGACAATCAGTCTGTATAAACCTATGCACATTTTGCACATATTTTATTGTTTTTACAGTGACTATGATCGGCACATTTTGCACACACCTATGTATTTATTTTAACTTTGTTGTCAAACTATTCTGATATCTGTTTTGCTTGTCTTGGGCTGGACTGCTGTAACATCAATTTCTCTACGGGATTAATAAAGTATTATCTATCTAGGCGCCGTCTTGACGTCACAGTGTGACACGGAAGTGGAAGTCAGGGTGGGCGGTTCGTACACGGGATTGCTGTGTTGTGTGTTTCACATTGATGTTTCTGCTGGGTGATCTTGTACTCAGCAGTGGCGCATCAGTGGTTAGTTGCCGATTTTATTCAGGGCAAACAAAAATGTCATTAATGACAGGATTTGCGTTTTTGTTCGCCGAAGAATTAGATGCAAGCGATAATATACCTTTTGTTACTGATGCACTTCGACATCTTCAAGGAAACAGGTTAGTTTGGCGTTATCCGACATTTATTTATGTACATTTATTAATGTAGATAAACGCGCTTTTTGGTTTGCTAAGCGTTTCATCAAAAAGTGTTCATGTTTTCTCGCGAAATTGAATAAGTAGTTGTGAGGACGATAACAACACCTTTGCGATTTTATCTTTTACACTGTCTGAATGTGCCAATGATTAATTTCAAATCACCAGTGAACGTAATTTGTTTTAACAAAATAAAATAAAACGTAAGAAAATGGGAAAGAAACGGGTGTCACTGCAGATTGTCTTAGTGAAAAGATGGGTCCTTAAGATCCTCGGCAGGTTTATGGTCTTTTGGTCTGGGCAGTGGGTTCCACAGACGTGGGTCGCCTATTTATAATAGTGAGGCGCCTTGTTCTAGGCAGAGCTGAGTAAGAAGGTATGAATTAAAATTAAGCTCATGTAGTTAATTCTTGAAATATTCTAAATCTAGAGCATTCAGGGCTTTATGCATTTACTATGGGTTAAATGATCCACCAACCATGACTAGCCCAGTTCAACTGTTCCTGTTCTGCCTTCTGTCACTTCAAAACGGATTGATTCCTTGACTTATTATTTTGTATCGCAGGGATGAAACAAAAGTGAAGAACTACATAAATGCAGTGATACCTCATTACAGTATCAGTGAGTTCCAGACCCATTTTCAGCTAACTCCAACCCAGGTGGAGGTAGGTTGTGATTTTTACATTTCCATCGGTCACATTGCGGGGTGTGTTAAAGGATGTATTGTGTGACAATAAGGGGGGTAGATGGAGGCCGCTTGTTTTTAGTGCAGTTGGATTCATTGCATCATGTGTCTGTTGTCAGAAACAGGTCCTTGGACGTACTAGTCTGAGTATTGTGCTTAATAGGCCCTGGTAAGAAAAAAGAGAGTGTTTTGTCTTATTCTTTGTCTGTTGAGCGGATGGTCATAATACATTAAAGGCTCTTCAAGTACCTTTGGGGTTAAAAATTTAAAATTTAACTTCTCTCATCTGGTTTTCAAAGAGAGTACAGAGGCCCAGGTCAGAATAAGCAAATGAGTAGTTCCAACAATTAATTCCTGAAATATTACAAATATTAAGTACATGTAGTTTATATCTTATGACGTGACGGACACATTGAATGTAATCTGCTCAAACAACTTGAAAAAAAAACCCATCAGTGTGAGCCAGTGGTAGGGGTCAAGTTTCTTCCCACAAGCTGTCAGATTACTGAACTGGCTCACACTGATGTTTTCTGTTAAGTTGTATGTTATTTAACTTGTTGTTGCAGCTGCTGCTGTTCTGTGTTTATGTTCTATGTTATTTCCTTAATGTCTTTGTATTGGAGCATACACGCACATAAGCATTTCATTGCACTTGTGCAGGTGACAAATAAACTAACTGGAACAAACAAACGAGTGGGGCACAGAAGAGACATGACAGGAAAAGGAAAATTGCTCTAGCTAAAAATCTTATAGTGCTGGAGTTATGAACCAGCTCACTGTCCCATCAGAACTACGGCAGACCTGAAATAACATAACATAACATAACATAACATCACTTTACTAGCCCTATACAATTTCTTGCATTAGGAATTTGTCTTTTTGCATACCCCAACTTGCTCTCCATGAGACACACAGACAGGGAGAGAAGCCTGGGGTCAGAGTGCAGGGTCAGCTATTGTACAGCACCCCTGGAGCAGCTGGGGTTAAGGGCCTTGCTCAGGGCCCCAGTGGAGTAGGATCCTCTGCTGGCTGTGGGATTTGAACCGGGAACCTTCCAGCCACAGGCGCAGATCCTTAGCCACAGAGCCACCGCTCCGGGGTAGGGTACACACGGGAAAGGATTTTCTATTCTGTGCAGGGAAGAGCAGCTCTTAATGCCTCTCCGTCCTTCTCCAGGGGCTGATTGCCGAGCTGGAGCCCTTCTACTCGAACCTCATGGGCAGGAAGTGGCCTCTCAGGAACGTGGTGCTGGCCAGCCTCTGGACGCTGGCGACCCTCGAGTCGTACCGAGATGTGGCCGACAGGTTCGAGACCAGCAAATCGGTCATCTGCGGCCACTTGCACGAGTTCTGCGCCTTGGTGGCGGAGCACCTCTCCGGTACGCTCCGCTGGCCCGCCGGGGAGGCTGCCGAGGCCTCGGTGAGGGGCTTCGCGGCGGCCGGTTTTCCCGGCACGCTGTGCGCGGTGGGCGCCTGCCACATCCCTGTGGAGAAACCCCAGGGAGTACCAGATCCCGAGGAGTACTTCAACAGCAAACACTTCTACTCCATCAACCTGACCGCCTGCTGTGACCATGCTGGACGGTTTGTTCACGTGAGTTCTGAGCACCCGGGGAGCTGGCACAACTCCCGTGTACTTCGGGTGACGGACATAGGCAAGGCTCTGGAGGGAGACCCGCAGTCCCTGCTCTCCGGGTTTCATATAGTGGGCGACGCATCCTATCCGCTCTCTGAGCACCTTCTCACCCCTTTCCCCGACAGCGGACCCCTCCTCCCCAGAATGGGGCGCTATAATTGGAAGCTGCACACCGTCCTGAAGATATTAGACGGCTCTTTCTTTGCTCTGAAGTGCAGGTTCCGGAGGTTGAAATCCCTACAGATGCATTCGGTCGCCAAGACCAGTGCTGCCGTCAAGACCTGCTGCATTCTTTACAATCTGTGTTTGGAAACGAGCGGCTCTCTGCAGATTGAAGATATAGACTGTGAAATTGTGCCTCAGGAGCCTTTTCACTTGCTTCCTGATGGACACTGTGGTAATCCAGCTGGCACTGCCAAGAGGAAAGCCATTGCCGCATCCCTAGCAAACCTGGGCTCTTGACAGATCTTGGACTCAATGTATATTTCCTTACAGACTCACACGGTTTTCTGTCATGAACTATTAGACTTGCACATACTGGCTCTTGTGGACTTCATACAGCATCATCCGTGTTTCACGTTTGTGGTGTTTATTCTACAGCAATAAACTCCTTTTAAAGAGTATTGGCAGCTTTTGCCTTTTCTCTTCGTCTCCCTTTAACAATAACATATTCCTGACCTCTGGGTACAGAAGGTTTCTTTCTTCACTGTTAACCATAGTGTTTTGAATAGGGTTGTTGTGATTTTTACACACAATATTTCACATGCAGATATTTCCAGCCTACTAAAGGGAAGTTGTTGCATCTCATTCACAAACTGGTGAAAAATACCTGCATAACATGCTGCAGAACTGAAACGAGTTTCTCGGACTCTGGGACTCGTGATGACCATCACCATTATGTTTGAGAGGTTAATCTGACAAGATACTCATCTGAGATTTGAAGTAATAATAATAATAATAATTAATAATTGCTTACACTTATATAGCGCTTTTCTGGACACTCCACTCAAAGCGCTTTACAGGTAATGGGGACTCCCCTCCACCACCACCACCAATGTGCAGCATCATCCACCTGGATGATGCGACGGCAGCCATAGTGCGCCAGAACGCTCCCCACACACCAGCTCTCACTGAAGTGAAAGCTGCTCCCATTTTCAGAATTAAAAGATTGTTCATTTTTAGCGAGGTTTAAGGGCTAGAAGAAGAAAAAAAACGGAAGACGCTTTTAATTTTTTTTTGGCGAAAATAAAAACTGCGTGCAAGCAGCTGCGTGCGCGTCTTTCAGAGCTGTCCTGCCGAGCGGCGCAGCTGCTGGTCGCCTTGTCAGGGCAGAATTCCCCGGCGGCGGTGAGAGCACTGCGGTCCTTGTCCCTCCTGTGCGCTCTAGTGGCGACTAGCGGACAGTCAGGTGAAAAGGGAACAGGACCGCTGTGCCAGAAAAAAACTAATGCAGAAAGGAGATGCGGTTGTGAAACTGAATATTTTTTTGTTTTTCTGGGACAGAATTTGCAGTGTCTTTGTGTGGGGCCCTTAATATTACTCAATGGCCAGACCAACCGGAATTGGTTGCGGCTATTAGCGGGTTAGATGACTCGAGAGCTGCCTCGAGATAGTGCTGAGCTCTTGGAAGTGCAATGGGAAAGTTCTCGGTGTCATCAGAGCGATTCTTATTTTTGATACAGTCAACTCCGCATCAGTCTGGGCTGTTGCAGGCCGGCTATGATCCTTGTCCTCCAATTAGTACTTCCTCTCGGCAGAGTCCGTTCCGTTTCAGATCATTACGAAAAAAGGCAAATACCTTGAGGTAGTCTGTTTTGGGTAAACTGGGGAATTACCTAAACAGTTTTTAAATCGGTTAGTTGTATATTTTACAAGACAGAAATCGATAAGATGATGGAAAAATAAAACTGACAGCAAACTTCACATCCACGTTTTAAAAAATGTCACTTTTTTAAAAAAAGGACATTATTTTTGTTCTTGGACCGGCTTACGCTGGGGACAGAGGACAGGAATAAGATAGTAAGGCTTGTGCAAGCCATGTGATGATGTATCACAAAACAGAAAGCGGTTTTATTTTTAAAAACGCTGAATCATATCTGAATGATTCACTTTAGGTGAAAGACTCCAATGTGGGCAAAGAGATGACTTATACAAGCTGTCAGACAGTTATCAGTACAGATTGATCTACAATGTATCCTAATAAGATGGCAACTGGAAGAGCACAGATGTGTCTTCTTTTAGAACGAACGCAGCAGTCCAGTTTCCACAGTGTGATGAATAGGCACAAGCTGGTTCACTCCATTAAGATGACTCGCCTCTCACTAGACATTACTTACTTAGACGTAGGTCCTTATGTTCTGTGAGCTGAAGCCCACACCCACAGTGTAGTCTGAATACAGAAAAGATCAGAATTGAATTTGAAATGCCAAACTGTGAATGAGCAGTGCTTGTGCAGGGAAGTGAAGTTTGAGAATGTCCTCTAAGCTTACTCTTATGATGGTAGAAATGAGAGGAAATCTTTTGGGAAAGAAAATGAAGAAGTGGAAGGAATTTCACCTTCAAACTTTCTTGCATCCTGTGCGTTGTTTGCTTTCTTCAAATTGAAATAATGTGTATTTAAGGTTTTGGATCAAATCTGAATTTTCCAATTAAGGGAAAAAAGATTGGGACCCTACAAATGGTGTCCTGTTTTGTGATATTACAAAATGATGCATACATATTTTTAATTTATTTTGGATAAAACCTGAATGCTCAGACTGAGGACTTCTGAAGGCTTTGAGTAGAGGTGTTGTTAAAAGGTGACAGAAGTGGGAGGTTCAGTCTTTTCAGCTGTGCTCAGGCAGTTTAAGAACTCCGGTCTAATAGGATTTAAAGAGACAACATCTATCTGAGAGATATCATCCTAGCAACATTGGGTTGCGTGCTAGATTATATAACAGAATGAGTTGTTAAGGAGTAAAGGAGTAGCAGACTTGGTTGCTGAGATGTCAGGTTTGTCAGTAAGGTAACAAAAACAGTAGATCTGTCCTGTCTGAACAGGATCAACCACTAGGGATATAATGCTATTACAAGACAGGATCATGTTCTCTCCCTTTTACCTCACAGGGGGTAATATTTGGTTACAAATCCCAGAGGGCATTTGTGATACCCCACAATGGGGTGCACTAACAACTGCTGGGTTATACATCTTGGGGGGATTTATCCCTAAAGGGACAAAGTAACTTGGGTTGGTTACAGGGTAAAATGCTATCATTAACTGTGGCTGAAAAGCTGATCAACATATTTGTATTCTCTCGAATTGGCTACTGCAATGCTCTGCTCCCTGGGGTATCTAAATCTACTCTGAACAAGCTGCAGTATGTCCAAAATTCAGCAGCCAGAATCCTGACCAGATCTAGTGCAAGTGTTCACATTACTCCTATCCTGGAGTCCTTGCACTGGCTTCCGGTCAAATTCCGCGTAGACTTTAAAATCCTCATGCTCACCTACAAGGCTTTACATGGCTTGGCACCTCAATACCTGTCTGAACTTTTATCGCCCTACTCCCCACCTCGCAACCTCCGCTCTTCAAATTCTGCCCTCCTTACTGTCCCCCAAGCCCGTCTACATTGTATGGGCGACAGGGCCTTCTCCTGCTATGCCCCCAAGCTCTGGAACTCCTTGCCCAAGGATATTAGAGAGTCACCTTCTCTAAACTCCTTCAAATCCAGACTCAAAACCCTCCTTTTCAGAAAAGCCTTTACTTAACTGGTTCCATTCTTCACCCCTCTGCTCTTCTTAATACCATCTTCCACGGTCTCCTCTATTGTTATTGTTGTATTGTTGTAATTATAATTGTGTCCTGTCTTGTGAAATTTTCTTATTTATTGTTGTAGTCTTCTTATTTATTGTTATTGTCATCCTGTAAAGCGCTTTGAGAAGCCATCTTTAAAGGCGCTATATAAAATAAAGTTTATTATTATATTATTATTATTATTAAAATCAATGGATTATAAATCCAGCAGGGGATTTACAAGTTCCTCGGTAGGGGACGCATAGATCAAGGTTTTCCGGCAGGGGGACATTAAGGTTATAGGTTATCAAACTCTAGAGGGAGTCTGAGTAAGAGAGAAGTAATTGGGTATAGGTCTCATATAATATGCTCGGGTTGAGCAAGGTAATAGGTTTTTAGTTATAGAGGTGGACTGACAGGATAAGGGGAGATCCAGGAAGGTGAACTGAGTAGCTCAGTGGCTCTGGAAGAAGGTAGGACTGGTAGGTGACAGAGCCAATATTAGGTCTTCCCAAGAGTACAAGGGTTAGAAGCCCCAGTCCAGCCAAAGGAGATCACACGGTCGATGTCACATGGTTACTGACAGTACTGTAACCCTGGTTACTCAGCAGATTGCTGAATGTTTCTAAGAAGGGATCTGGAAGTCATCAAATTATCCTCAGAGGAGGTCAAGGTGAGTCAGGAATAAGCAGCTATGGAGAAAGGCTCAAGAGGTTGAAACTACCATACGCCATGATTTGGCGAGAAAGAGTGAAGCCTAAATCAAGGAATTTGAGAGTGAAGGGCTTAGTAAACATCCTGAGTATCACGCTCATTGGGAACAAGATATGGTTCAGTTACAGAGATATTCCCAGATGGCGATTTTACTACTCCTGACCTCAGCAGTTAAGATGAGAGTTCTATGCAGGAGAAATCTAAACAACTGATAATCTTGAATTTAGGCAGGTTCTCATGTAAGGTTTACACACTAAGGTTTGCTGAAGCAGAGCTTCAGGTCCTGGAGGATGAATGCTCTTTGAAAAGGCTAGAGATTTTAGGTTACAGGCTCTGCAAAGGTGCATGAGGACAGGACCATCAAAAAGAGACCCTACCACAGGCCACAGAAACTGCACAGTGTCACACAAATTAGTGTCAGAGGGCTGCAAATCTCTGGTCAAATGATGTGAGAAACTGTGGTGTCTGGGAGACAAGCTGTCACTCCTTAATACGAGGTAAGGAAAAACTATCTTCTATTATGTTGTTTTTTATTCCTTGTGAAGTTTAAAAGTTCAAAATTAGAAGTCTGCAGGTATTTTTAAATTCTAATCACATTGTGTTCTCCATAAATATTCCTCAATTTGTTAAATCGTTTTGAAAACTGTTTTGTAAAAGAAGGAAATTAGAAATAAAATTAGAAATCTCTGTAAATTGTGGGGATTTTAGAAATAAGATTTTAAGCAATACTTCAGTTTCGGGAACTGATATGCCCAGCTAGCACTATTTAATTTCTCCACTGTAGGGTGGAGACAGTCCCCCTATGAAATACAGCATCCGTCAGGCAGTGAGGGGTGGGAGGTGATGCCGACAGGGAACCAAAGCAAAGACCTCTATCCCATCAGCAGCTAAGTCAGTGGGGCTCCCCCTCTTCCCCACAGACCTAAACAGAACTGGGAATACACCTCCAAGAATCTAGTCCTGCAATAAAGCTGGAATCTCAGATTTAAAGTGACTTAGGAACCCCTCAAATAAAGTGAAAATAAATATCCAAACCGCAGTAAACAACACAGATTTAATCAATACTTCTACATTTACAAAGATAACTAAGGGAGTGTTAAATTAGAATATGAATGTCACCATCCTTCTTATTAGTATTTTGTGAATATATTCACATCTAAACCATCAGCACCAGACAGTTGTTTATTATCACAAGCAGAAAGTATATTTTTAATGAAGGATTATCCAGTGTGATTCCAGAAACAGTTTTTATACCCCTGCATATAAAGTTAACGGGCTGTGGTCAGTTTTGTTTCATTATTGAAGGCATTCCACCAAACCCCTTGTTGACCTGCAATTTTGAGTTACATTTTTTGTTACTTTAAAGATTATTCAGATTTTTTATTGAACAGTGGGCCAACCCAAAACAATGAAGAAACACTGCTTTTTATGTGTTTGCAAAAATAAATCTTATTATTTTAAGTGTATACAAATTGATTGAGACATTCAATGAAGTCACTGGACTTTAGTTTCTATGGGCCTTTCGTGGTGTGAAAACACTCCTTTCTGGCTCCAGAGTCTTTCAGTATTTACATGTGCTATTTACATTTCATCAGTTCAATGGCTGGGAGATTCAGTTGTACCTATTTTCCTCCGGCCTTCCACCCTTCCGTGGTTGGACTGCGAGAGCCGGCGGCAGGATTTGCCTTAGTCCCAGACCGTCTCCCGAGCTATGATTGGCCGATATTCACCTACGCTCTCAAGCTTCTGCTCAATGTTGCCCATCAGACGCTAATCAAATTCGAATAGCACTTGTCCATTGTTTATATTCCTCTTTGGTGTAGTGAACGAAAAATGGAGACACATAAATGGAGGAAGGTTCCATTTCATCCTAAAACCTATAAAGATACTGAAGATACTTTGCGAAGAAAAGTCTCTATAGCCTATCAGTTTGGCTAATCATTCTTGAATTACGTCAGGGTCAGCCAATCAGCACTGGGTGACGGTCGGTGACCCACGTTTTAGTCCCGCCCACTCCCCCGCTCGCTGAGAGAAGGCTGCCGAGCCGCTCTCTCTACGCATGCGTAGGCCACGTACTCCAGGTCCCGCGGCGTGTCGCGCAGTTTACCCGTGTGCGTCTCCGTGCACAAGTCCGGGAGGTTCCGCGGCGGAGAGGAAGGGGGTCTCAATAGCCTCTCCGCAATGGCAGGGCAGCAGTTCCAATACGATGACAGCGGCAACACTTTCTTCTATTTCCTCACCTCGTTCGTCGGGCTCATTGTCATCCCAGCTACCTACTACCTCTGGCCCCGGGATCAGAACGCGGGTGAGGCCCCGGACAGGGGAGCCGACGGTGGGATCCGAGGGGGTGATGAAGCGGGCAGGAGGGACACTGTTGCCTGGCTGTGGGCGCAGACCTGTAGAGGCCTGCATCACTGTTTCCGAAACGTTGGTTCAGAGCGAGGTTCCCTTCCCCGAGGCTGCGAGAAGGTAGTGTACGCGGTCGCAGCCGGACCGGGACTGAACAGCCGAAGGAGGATTTGCTCGGAGTAGGACGAGATCTAAACAACGGAGGGTTGAGATCACTTGTTAGAAAGTGGCAGTTCCTCGTGGGGGAAAATCTTGGTGGACGGGGACTAAAGTTTTACCCCTCGCAGGCTGCTTGCGGTGGCTTTGTTTACGCGTTCAGCCTGCTCGCAGAGGATTGAGAGTAAGGTCAGAATGCAACACTTCCAGCGCAAGATGAACATCGCTGTCTACTGCTAGTGCAGATGGCTCTTCCACAGCGCAGTGGAACCACCCTCACTTTGCCCAGAATGAAAGGCATTTCAAGTCATGATTGCCTGACGGTCCAGGATCGTGCCAAGCTTGCCCGGTAATATCGTCAGCTGCACGCTGTAGCCCCCTGCTTTACAGAACCCGGTCCCCGGTGCGATATAATTCAGTAGCCGGCCCTTTTCGCGTCCCGAGGGCAGCAGCCGCAGATCTGTTTGTAGGGGTTCTAAAGTAGTGGTTTAAGGTCGTTTGCAGCTTGTCTAATTAAGCCAATACTTCGTTTAGATATGCGAGAGCTCTGCCCCTGCTCAGACAATTCACCCACATGCCCCTGAGCTCTGAGTGGACAACTCCATACCTGCTCTGCGTGTGAAGCTGGCCGTTTGCTTGCTTTGTCGTCAGTTATACCCATTTAAGTTGCCCTTGGGGAATATTGTCTTTTATTATTAACCACGCTGTTTTCTGAATTTGAGATGGAAGTCATGAACTCCCAGTACATTTTTTTTAAACTGGCCTTCCTGAAGAATGACACCTTAGTTTGCGGCTAACGTCACCTGACTCCACCAGCAAATGTCTCCACGTCTTTTTTCCTTGAGAGAGTCTACAATAGATGGAAACAGCCCACACTGTAATTCCAGAGCTTTAAGACTCGGACTTAGAATAGAAGCCTACACAGCAGCATGTCTCCAGAGCTTGCGGTCCAGTCTGCCTCTTCTTGCTAAGCATTTTAGGGGTTACCTATACTTTGTTGACAAAAGGGGATGATAATGGCTAAGAGGATATGCATGTTTGGTTATGCATTACTATAAGTTTTCCTGCATCTGCAGTAGATGTCTGACAGAAAGTGCTTTGCCCTTTGCTGAGTTTGCTTGTAATCTGCAAGATACATCTCATCTTAAGAAAAGCTTGGGATGCTTAGGTGTCGATGACTGATTTCACTTAAAGGTAATACACGGTTAACTAATTTTTAAGAGAAAACGCTTCATCTAATTGGCCAAATGGAGCGAGTTTTGAAGGCTTTATTTTCGGTAAGTAATGTTACACTTCGAGCTCTGTTCATTCTATGTTGACTGCCCCAGTATCTACATGTAGAAAAAATGTTTTAGTGAGTGTGTTGTAGGTGTGAATTAGATTGCATTGGGCTTTAAGTGGCACAGTGTACATCAGCAGTGTGATGCGTTGTGCAGAAGATCCTAAGGCTGGATGCAAGCGTGGCAGAAGCCAGGCATACTTCAGTTTTGGAGAGCAAGCCTCCTGTGTATATTTTACCCAGCTCAGTGTCATTCTCCTTGCCATCAAGGCCAAGTGTCAGGCGACCATGCTAGAGAAAAGGTTGGGGTTCTCTCTTTCAGTGCACGATACTATAAAAATATACGTTCAGAAGTTAATGTCCTGATTAAGTTAGATTTCAAACTGAAAGTGAGATTATCCTGTAACTGGCCCGTTGTTAGATGTGTTTTCCCCCAGATTAGTTTGGCATTCTGCTGCATGTACAGTTTTGTTTTTTTTTACCCCTGTACAGTGTGTTGAGTAGCACTTGCAATGCAAAGAGCAACAGCAACATGGTGGTTCAGTTCAGGTTTAAACTAGAACATTCCACCTGTGGTTGTCGAGTGGTCCAGACTGCTGTTTTTATTAAAGTAATAAGGTTTTCTTCACAGTGTTTCCTACGGTATGAGTGTTGGTGTGAATTACTGTCTTCTGAAAGCTATCAGGTGTGACAGAAATGAGCTTGATAAGCAGCATTAATGTGAACTCTTGAAAGCCTGGTTTATCAGCAGCTGTTGTCAGAGGCCTGATACTGACTGTAAAAGTTTTGCTTTGGTTGAACAACACTACTTAATTCAGTTATGAGTTCAGTTATGAGTATTAACATACCTTGGGAACACGGATGACTCAGTGCTGTCTTGTCCTTTGTTACAGCAAGCAGGAGTCATATAGATACTGTGAGTAACACTGATATCAAGCAAGTCCTTTACTTTTCCTAGGATACATTCATCTGGTCTTATTTTTCACTTCTCTTTGGCCTTGGTGCACCTTTCCCATTTTCATAAAGTCAAAGCAAGCATCTGTGTTTGGAGGAGTTTCTGTGGTCTACCTTGTTCACATAGGTGTTGATTTCCACGGATTCCTGCTACATTTTGATGGCCAGATTTGCAACCTGGAATGTGCATAGGAATATATGGGTTATTGGAGTACAAAAGGAGAATTCTGTTTCTATTGACTTTGGAAATCCAGGTCTCACTTCTGTCTTTCGGCAGCTGCTATTTTGTCCGCTTGGCTCAATGGGATTCGCTTCAGTGCCTTGCTGTCTGAAAATAATTTAATGAGGATCTGTATTCTGTTGCTTCCTAAGAAGTTTGCCAGATGCAGTAGCGCACACCTGGCATATCTTTGATCTGTCAATAGCTCAACATATGCATACTGTGAGATAGGCTTTTCATCATGAATGAGGATGCACATACTTGTTTATATTGCACAAGGCTGAATATTTACGCACGTCTCGATTTCTGTGTTGAATGCACAACCCTAAAAGCACCGTTGGCTGCTCATCATGTGGCACGTTGTGAAACTCACTGTTGCTGAAGTGAATGGGGCGGGGGGTGTTATGGAGCATGTGGCTGAGGATGCTCTAGCCAGCTTCGGCCCACAGGACCCCCGGCAGTGCTCAGCTGCTCGAGTCCTGCTGCTGGAGTCCCCATCACTGACCACCGAGAGAGCTCATACCTGAGCGGGTGGCCCTTCTCTGCTCTGATTCCAGGGCAGCAACATCGTTTCTGTAACATGGTGTCCTTTATTATCCACAATCTTCTAAATCAGGCCCTTGAGTGTGCCGTTCAGTTTTAACATACACACTTTTTATAATAATAATAAAAAAAAACTTTATTTTATATAGCGCCTTTAAAGGTGGCTTCTCAAAGCGCTTTAGAGGATGACAATAACAATAAATAAGAAGACTACAACAATAAATAAGAAGATTTCACAAGATAAGACACAATTACAATTACAACAATACAACAATAACAATAGAGGACACCGTGGAAGGTGGTATTAAGAAGAGCAGAGGGGTGAAGAATGGAACCAGTTAAGTAAAGGCTTTTCTGAAGAAGAAGGTTTTGAGTCTGGATTTGAAGGAGTTTAGAGAAGGTGACTCTCTGATAACCTTGGGCAAAGAGTTCCAGAGCTTGGGGGCGTAGCAGGAGAAGGCCCTGTCGCCCATACAATGTAGACGGGCTTGGGGGACAGTAAGGAGAGCAGATTTTGAAGAGCGGAGGTTGCGAGGTGGGGAGTAGGGCGATAAAAGTTCAGACAGGTATTGAGGTGCCAAGCCATGCAGAGCCTTATACAGCATGAGGATTTTAAAGTCTACGTGGAATTTGACCGGAAGCCAGTGCAAGGACTCCAGGATAGGAGTACTGTGAACACTTGCACTAGACCTGGTCAGGATTCTGGCTGCTGAATGTTGGACATACTGCAGTTTGTTCAGAGTAGATTTAGATACCCCAGGGAGTAGAGCATTGCGGTAGTCAATTCGAGAGAATACAAATATGTTGATCAGCTTTTCAGCCACAGTTTACTGTGTGTCTGTGCATTTTCTGTGGCTTTTTCTTGCTTCCCCACGTTCTCTAGCAGACATAAATAATGTGTCTATTGTAACACCTAACATCGACATATTAGGTCTTATGTTGACCAAGTCTTTTCAAAATACTGCACTCTGCTTTCAACGTCATCTGATATGTGCTTGTGCTTTTTGGAATTTTGTGTCAGTCTTTTTGAATTGCATTTGCTGTTCCTGCAATGTTTGCTTTGAACTTACAGTACAGTTTGCTCAGGCTCAAAAACCTACCAGTGTTTCTGAATGAAAGCAGTTCTGCGAGCAAGAGTGGGCTAAAATTCCTCCACAGCGATGTGAAAGACTGATATTGAATTATAGGAAGCCTTGGGTTGCAGTCATTGCAGCTGAAGGTGGCACAACCAGTTAATAAGTATAAGCAGGGAAATTAGTTTTACAATTACCTCACAGGGGATCTGGGTGTTGGATAACTTTATTAAATAAATGAATTAATAATAAAAAGTTATTTGTTCACTCAGGTTCCCTTAGATCTAAAAACATCCAGTGTGACAAATGTACAATTATAGAGGAAATCAGGAAATACTTCTTTACAGCACTGTACGTTTGGTGTCGGATGCAAACATGACAGGTTTACTAACTATACTAGAATCTAGATCATTGATATTAATTAGTAAGAGAAAAGGTCCTAGTACAGATTTTTGTGATACTCCACAAATTACTCTATCTGCTATCTGTACTCTCTATTAACCAATTCACAATTCAGACATGTTTCCCTTTAATGAAATTCTAAATATATCCAGGAGTTCTCGAATTAGCATAGGCAGAAGTGGCACAAATTTGATGCAAATATTGAACATCATTTAACTTGCTTATCTTCTCCTCTTCTTGTGCTCCTTTTGTGCTCACTGTGCTCTGATAATCTCATCTAGATCCCTGTTTTATCCTGTGCTTCACTGTCTGGAGTCATAACTCAACTG